CCCCAAAACCCCAAAACCCCATCATTTTAAATGCATCAAATCAGATAATGATCAAATATTTTAAATATAAAAATAATTAAATTTTCTTGGAGCAATTTGAAATAATCAGATCAAAAGCTTTATTATACTTAATCACATATTTCTGTTCAGAGTAGTTAGCATCTTGTTGATATTTGCTGGCTTGGGATTAGTTATTTTGTTAAGATCTGCTGAACTCTTACTTTTGCCATATTGATGATGGCCTTTCATTTAACTCATGCTGAGTAGCATATTTTACTAGGGACTCTTCATCAGATCTTTTTGAGATTATATATTCTCGAACAAATCCTTAACCTTCTGCTTGCCTACTTTATCCTCCTAGAGACTATTATATTCCATTATTAATTTCTTTTTCTACTATGCTGAGGCACTAGCTTATTAATAAATCATATATAAATATTTACAATTGATTGGTAGTTAGATCAAGATAGCAATTTTCACAAACCTTGATTTAACTATTTGTCCAAGTGTGATCCGATTTCATAAGAGAAAATCTTTCCTTTGTCAGGGTTTTATATAAATTCTCATTTTTTACTTATGGGAAGGTTACTTTGTCATACTATGCTAGAGTTAATATTAAATAATTTACCAATTCAATTTTGGGGAACATATCAATGTTTAGATTTGTTCTAGATTAGGTATTCTTAAGATTGATAATAGGAGTTTGAAGTCTTCTGCCAACATGAGTACCAGGTCTAGATTGCTGTGCTGATTTAGCTTGAGTATTATCCATATTAGAAGTATAGAAGAATCTTTTCTCTCTTTTAGACGACAGATGATTTACATCAATTGATTCAAGCATGTATTTATAAGGGATGCTCAGCAATCTGTTTTGCACTATAATCAAATCATTAATAGATATACTTACCAAATAAAATGTGACATCTTGAGCAATAAGCGTGTTCTTTTTTCTCATTGCATTCCTCAGTATTCTTTTTAGAGCTTATACCTCCACCAAGAGTATTAGTTGCCTGGCCTGACCCGATATTCCTAAATTCTTTAGGGATTGTAAATTTAGGGACAGCCTTCATCATAGGGTTTTATTCATCTCTCATTAGTAGTTCACTAGCATACATCAGAAATAGTCTCTCCATACAATCAATCTTAAAATAAAGTGTCATCCTTTTAACTTTCTTTCTATCTCCACCTTTTGATACTTTTTTGACATGATCAGCAATAAAGTTGCAGGTTTTTAGAATATCATTAGCTAATGTAGGGCTATTTATAGAATCTTGGATGGCTAAGTGCTCTGGACCCTCATGAGTTACAATTCTTTCGTATAGATTGACTTTTTGATCATTAATTTTGTTAATGTTGGTTTTATTCTCGAGTATGGAAAACTAAGGTGTCCAGGTTACTTTAATCGTTGAATTTTTATCGTTTTTTGGAGCAATAAATTTCTAGAGAAAGGATTTCATCGGCTTTTCGGGTTTTAGCAAAAATCTGTTAAAATCCTTCGCGTTAAAATGTTCCACGGTTACCACATCTGTAGTGTCAATATTTTAATAAGAATTTAAGTACCTTGCTTATCAATAGATGAACTATAAGAATAGTGAGATGCTACTATGTCATTATCTTATTTACCAGCAAGAAATTCATCTTTAACAGCTTTGTATGAAATTTTCTTTTTGCTTTCTCTTAATATTGTACCTTATGCAGTTGTGAAATACCAGAAATATGGCTATGAGCACCTTTAATAAATTTATTTGATTAAATAATGCATACTTATATATAACTGTGTCAGGGATCAGAATTTTAGTAGTCATGTCTAATGGATCTTCTGATCTTTGGACTAAATAATGAAACAATAGTTCTGTAGCTGAGTAATTTGCAAACATTTTATTTCTACTGGGAAATTTATAATAATTATGAAATTAAGATTAAAATAATAGATCAAAACATTGCTTTCAATCATTTCTCATAAATATATCATTTTCATAACTTATACAGATGAAAGTAATATAGCAGCTCATTTGTATATTTTTGGTAGACTTAGGTTCGTAAATTAAGACTTTTCTAGGTTCTCTAGATACCCTTCAACAATGTGTTTTTGTCCATCTGCAACATTCGCAGTTTCAAGTTCAGCTCTCTGATCCATAATCTTAACTGATTCTATATTTTCTTATAAGTACATAGTATCCTTCATATCCATGCTTTGATTTTTCCTTTGGGTTTTATAGTGATTTGAACTTCCAAACTAGAAATCTAGTGTACTATGATGATTAGATTTCTTAATCTTAGGAGAATTTCTCATACTTTATTTATGGTTTACAAGTTAATGATTCAAAAAGAGATTAATTTGTGATGTGGGCTGTTGCATTGTGTGCAGGTCAGTTGATATATTGTTCAAATTATTATGCTTTAATTAAGTTGGAGCTTTCTGGTGTTACTCAAGATTATTGATAAGAGTAGGATATATTTGAGATTTAGCCTAGAGTCTTTCAACATTTCTACTGCTCATATCATTTGGTGAAATAAGAGCTTTAAAAGGCCTTAACTTTTAGGATTTTTTGACAATAGTTTACTTTGAAAGCTGCCTAGTAATATCTCCAGATTGATTTATGATGTGATTTTAATTGAACTTTTCTATTGCCATCAGATCTTATTAAATTTATTGTTCCTCATTGTTTCTTGGAGATTGCTAATTATCAAAATATTAGTTGATATCTTAGAAATCAAATTAATTTACCCATGAACTTATCTTTGCACTTTAACTAGTAATAAAATCCAATTTATTGTTTCTCTAAAGTTCAGTCTCGTTATGTTTCTTTACCATTGCAGAGGCAGTTTCTGTTTAAATTACAGACATTTATTTTATCTATTTCTAAAGTATTTCTATCCATTTAATAACATTTTCTGTATCAGTCTTATTAGTCTTCTTATTGTTAAGGTTCACAAGGTCTTTCTGGTCAGCTTTTGATTCTATAAGGTTTCTTAGTTCTTCCTCAGTCATAGTCATTGATTAACCAATACTATTCTTTCTATTATTGAGATGTGAGGTTGCTCTCTTCACTGCCAAAATGATATCCTTCGTAATGTTCTAGCTTAATAAATCTAAAGTTTCTTCCAAATGATCCTACCTTTATGTAAGTGCTTCTTATTCATCATCAATCTCCTTTTTATAGTCATCAAACTTTTCAATAGTTAAGTATTCTTCCAGTTTAGAATAGATCTCTCTGATGTTTTACTTCGATGCTTTTTCAGTCATTATTTCATCAAATCTCGCTACTATTTCCTAAGTCCTTTTATTCTCATTTGTAAGTTCTAAGAGTAAATCCTCAAATTTTTTGATTTCAGGAATTGTTTTTTGGTATAATTCTTTAAGATCTGTGTACTCAGCATAAGTATGAAAGTGCTTCCAAATTCTTAAGGTTTCCTCTAGGTTAGTCTTGGTTTTCAAATCCTGCTACATTCTATGAATGTCTTGTCTGATTGAAGTTTTCACATCACTATCAATTCGATTAACTTTTCGTTCCAAGGCACTGTGCTCATCGCCCACAGTCTTTACCTTCAAACTAATGTCTTAATCATATCTATTCAATCTTTGAATGAAGTCGTTAATCGAAAGCTTAGAGTCAACAGAGTGGAAAACATCGGATCTCAGAGTATTAATGGCAAGAATTACATCCTCGCTCTTCGAGTAATATTTTTCTACAATCTAAAGTCGCTCATTTAGTTAAAACTCAACTGAATGCAATTCATGAATCTTAGCTAATGATGTCATCTCTGAATATATCTTTTAAACGTCGCAATAATTTATGAAGTCCTGTAAGGATTAATTGGTCTTTTCAACTGCCTCCTGAGATGCGAAGAATTGTATACGAGAACCAATATCATTCACTGCCTCATTTAGCTTTTAGATTTTTAAAGTGATTTCCCCTGCATTCATTGGGGTAGATGGTGCTGGCTGATTAAGACTTTTTATCTAAGCTCCAGATATGTTTCCTAAAGGAAGCGACTTTTTAGCAGTTGGATTTACATTAACAGGTGATGTATTTCTAGTTTGTGCTCCTAATGGACTGCTCACTGATGAATTCATTAAAAGATCCTTAATCATAGCCACATCATTTTGTACTAATTTAAGTTAATAAGTCATGTCACCTTGTTGTATTCCAGCTGTAGTAATGCTCGATTTTGAGGGATTACTATTTAGAGACATATTAGCGGTAATCTCCTTCATTTCAATCATTTAATTTTGTAACTCTAAAATGGCCTTAGAGTTAGCAGTGGACTCATCCTTGACATATTAAAACTTGGGGAAGTAACCAGTCAGGTTAGCATTAAGCATTTAAGCAATAAAAGCTATTTAAGTATTTTCTTGGATCCCATCTACTAATGATTCCAAATATGATACTCTTTCATCTAGGCTCTATAATATCAATTAGTATTGAGAGATATAAATCTCTTACCTCATAGCTTGGCATATTATCTTTATTTATTTTAACTTTATCTGTAATTACTGCACAATTAATCTCAGGGGTTTTGGGGTTTTGGGGTTTTGGGG